CCTAAGATCGTCCATGTGAATCGCTTGGCGCGTTATTATGGGGCCGATAATGCTCGGGACGAGCATGTCTTAGGAGGGGGCAGTGTTACGCGCTCCAGTCAACGATACACTAGCGCCATCTAGTGTCAGGAACGAGAGCGAGGGGAGCATTGAGAAAATGACATCACTCAACCGACAGCGCCTAGTCGAAACTCGAACGCTCGGTACCTTGCCCGTGTTTACTTGAACATTCTGGATATTTCTTTGCTGATTCAAATATATAGGCGCTGCAAGATGCGATCGGAGTAGTGTTGATTTGGGCGAAACAAGCGAAGCTTCGGAGTGGAATTAAGTGAATTAGTGTGTTTAAATTATTAGTGTTTTAACTTTAATTGTGTAAAGTAAATTAAAGTGTTAATGTAGGTAATTTTATCGGCAATTTTTATTGTCACGAACCTCAAGCTCGTAACAATATTAACGTATTCTTCAGTTTTCTCCCTGGGTGATGAATTTTTTTAGGATGCAACCAATATCTTCGATATTCCATGTTAATTATTCTGCCCACGTTTTTTTATATGAATCAATTATTTTCAAAGAGGATGAATACAGATTAGAACAACTCTCTAAAATTACTAAATTACCCAGTTACTCCACTGTCTTGAAAGAAAAGCATACAGACTTTGCCACAATCCTTCTTATATTGTTCTTGAAAAAAATAGTTAAGATCGGCGTGATTTTAACAACTTTTCATTGGTATAATCAGAAAGCTGTAGTTGTTTCCAGTCGTCTAGTTCAGTGGTTCGGGCACACTGCGATGGCAAAAGCTTATTAAAACATAATTTCTTGCAGCCCCGATATTCTCTTACGATATAAAACAAATAAGTAACAAATCAAATTAGAATACCTACACATAAAAACCTTTGCTTGTTAGCAAATTCTCAGATAAGATACATAGGCTGTTAAAAAAAATCGATAACTAATGAACCCGACGACTCCGACCGTTATCGTCGGAGTCGTCGGGTCATAAATCTTTTTTGTTTTGTTTCGCACGCATTCGTTAAGTTAACGGAATGCTATTATTGATGTGCGTAAACGTAATAATATGAATATTTATGGATAAATTGTAGCAATATGGTTTTTAACTAGTAGGGAGTAGAGTTCTATACCTTCAGCAAGCTATTAGACAAATTAATCGATTACATGCGAACAAAATAAGCTTTATTTGATAAATATTAATATAAAACACATCAAATTGATATAAGAACAATGAAATGAATATAAAAATTTTATTATTCATCTTCATCATCTGAGTCGTTTGTTCTTCTTCCTTAAGGCAGTGGCGAAGCTTCCATAAAAGCCGAAAACTTTTGGGAATAAATTCGTTAAAAGCAGAGGCGCGCGGGCAATACGTTTGCAAGTTAATTTCACGTTTCAATGTTTATTTACTCTGTGTGCTTATCTTAAGCGATTTACTATTACGAGTTCAAAATTTATACTTTTTTTAAATATTTTTAATGAAAATGGAGGATAACAGTGTTCCTTGTGATGAATTGAAGCGTGTTAAAGTGATAATCGGAGAGGAAATGTTTAAACTTTGTTGAAATAATACACAAGGTTAAGAGTGTATTTTAGACATAACAACTATCACAATTAAAAAACAGTTATTGGTACAATTAAAATGTTCACCAACATTTTACGTGGACGTAATTAAATCTTACCATAAGAAAGCGAGACGATTCCACTTATCTTCTATCCATTAGAATGTAAATAATTTGTTTTTTTAATTTTGTCCATAGTTTGTTTGTACTTTGTTCATGTTTTACTTTTGTTCATGTATTGTATTGGATGTAAATATTTTTTTCTTTTGCTTAAACAAACCCAAACGGCTTTCTTCAAAGCCACCGAACCTATGCAATTGCTGATATTGTATACTACAATCTATCTAGCAGTGGTATGCCTTCTGTGTGCTTTGTTAAACACGTCCTTGACAGCACTGAATATGAAACTGAAGCGTGAAGACAGATCAAGATTGGTGCATTTTTATAAAATTGCTAAAATTAACAATATTTTTATCAATTTATATCTTGGGCTTGCCCTAGCTTGGAGCTCTAGCTTCGCCACTGCCTTAAGGCTTATTCTGATAAAGTCGTACTTGATCAGCAGCATTGAAAAATTGTATTATTATGATTGCTTTCAGAATGTGCAATTTATATTATATTAGGGTAAGTCCGGAGGAGTTGGCCGTTAGGAAGACATGGCCACTAAAAAATCATAGTTACACTAACTAGATGGCACTACTTTCTCGTTAGTTCAATTTGTGCTGTGCGTGGGAACGACATTTCGCTCCATCTCCGGTGAAAAAAATCGAAAAAGTAAGTAAAATGTACCTACATTTATTTGTATATAGCCTAAAGTTTTCAAAGGGTTTACGTTATACAGTGTGAAAAGACATCATAAAAAGTAAGTGCTTTTTTTAAGTTAAGTGCTCATTTAATGACCCACACTTTAACATAACTATATTTTTCTACAAACGCAGCTTCAACAACCTATCAAGTACCAAGGAAGACCCTCGAAAGGCGATACAAGAAAAATAATGACAAAAAAGGACCAATGGGACCATCCTCTATATTCGGCGAAAAAAATGAGAAGAAACTCGCTAACCATATTAAAACTATGCAAAAAAATGGTTTCCCATTGACTATTGATGACGTCAGAAAGATTGCGTACCAGTTCGCGGAGCAATTGAATTTGAATCACAGATTTAATAGAGAAACTGAGAAAGCAGGATATGACTGGTTGCAAGGTTTTTTACGAAGAAACTAAGATATTACATTAAGAAAGTCAGAAGGAGTATCTTTAGCTAGATCAACTGCTATGAATAAACTGGAGGTTGACGCTTACTTTGAGCTTCTTGAAAGCATATTGACAGTAGACGATGGTGTGTTGAAACCGAGTTGTATCTTCAACATGGACGAGACTGGTCTTCAGCTTAATATTCGACCAGGGCATGTTCTTGCTGAAAAGTGTTCTAAGGCTGTATCTACAGTTACTTCGACGAGAAGGGAGAAACGATTACAGTTATAGCCTGCTGCAATGCTGAAGGTACATTTTTACCATCTGCCTGTATCATGAAAGGCGAAAACAAAAAACCTGAGTTTGAGGATGGGATGCCACTGGGATCGAAACTTTTCATGTCCACAAAATCAGCGTACATTATCTCAGATTTATTTATTGAATGGTTGAAAATACATTTTGTTCCGAGGAAACCAGCTGGAAGAGTACTTCTTTTACTAGACGATCATTCAACTCACTCTAATTCTGTGGAAATGCTGGAATATGCAAAGGACAATGACATCACCTTACTTTCAATGTCACTACCTCCAACCACTAGATCGTACGGTGTTTAAATCACTGAAGACTCATTTTTACGAGCAGTGTTGACTTTGGCTAAAACAAAATCCTGGTCGTCGTATAACACGATTATCATTTCGATTGCTTAATAAGGCTTGGGGAAAGGCAGCTTCTGCAGAGAATACAATTGCGGGTTTTAAAGCTACAGGTGTCCACCCCTTCAATCCATCTGCAATTCCCGACTACGCGTTTACCCAAGAATAGACAAAGCAAATGTCTAAATCTCAAAATGAGTGTACAGCTACTGTTATGGTCGAGAAGTAAGAAGAAAATACTAGTAACATAGCTTCTGCTAATCTGGAACCAGTTCCAAATAATTTCGAAGTGCGACAAGACATATCACCAGCATTCGCTGAGCCAAATAGCTCTGTTGAGCGAATAGTTTTAAACGCAAGTCCTGAGATGATTACAAGAAGGCCTAAAAAATTATTTGCTACTGCTTCAGCAGCGGTAATTAAAAAAATGTCAGAACAATTCCCTCCAAGAAGCGATTTGACAGATCTGACTCCAACACGTATTTTAAAGCAAATATCGCCAGTTCCACAAAAAAATATTGAAGTACGTAAACGTGCTAAACAGGTAGGCATGCTTTTAACCTCAGAGAATCACATCAAAACAAGAAAATTTAAGGAAGCGCTTAAAAAAATAGGGAACAAAAAAAATTCGAAAAAGACAATTGATAGAATCAGGCGTTACTTTGCGGAAACCCATTATAATAAAAAATAAAAATATAAATTTCTTTGTAACCTTCCGCCAAATAAATACAATGATGTGTCTTACCTGGATTGAAGAGCACCAAATTCGAAAAAGACGTTAAAAAGGAAATAAAATTGAGATAACACCAATAAAACGAGCACCAAGAAAGAGAAAATCATTAAGAAAGTTATCTGAGAGTAGTGATGAGGATGAAGAACTAATATTATGTAATTCGTCTGATGAAGAAGATGGAGACAGAGAATTGGATAGTGTAGGTTGTGGAGAAAAGTATTATTTTGTTTGAAAATATTTATTATATTGAAGATTGGATTCAATGCGTTATATGCCAACTGTGGGTACATGAAAATTGCACTGAACGTGATAAGTGTTCATCATGTGGACAGAAAAAGAAGAATGAGCTAAGGCTCAAAAACTTAAAGGGAAAAAGTGATTAAAATGTAGATTAACAAACTGGCCATCTCTCCCTTGCTGCTATGGCCATCTCTACCGGGCACTACGGGAGAGATGGCCAATCGTGATTTGAAAAAAAAGTTAATTATGAGACTGATTATGTTAAAATGACAAAAAAATGTTGTGATTTTCTTAGAGTTTAATGTCGAAAGTTTAATAAAAAGTTGATTTTTGTTAATTAATCCTCGTAGTTTTTATTTTAGTGACTTCTTTAAAAACTATGGCCAACTCCCTTGGACTTACCTTATTAATTATTACTTTCAGTATGAATTTTTTTCGTTTTATCAAAAAATTGTATTTTAATATTATTAGTAGTAAACTGATATAAATTGGTGTTTATTTCAATACTGAGGAATAACAGTCCTTCCTGTCGTTCTATTTATTGATTATGCAATTATTTTATATTACTCTGCTATTTATACTAGCATCACCACTTCGGTTACCAAGTTCAGTATTCGTCCCAGAATTCACATCCGTTGCTCCTGTATTAGCATTGCTTATTACAGGATTTCCGAATCCGTTAGTGGGTGGTTGCACAAATGGGTTTGGTCTTAAGGGAATCGTTTGAGGTTTCTGTCTGTTGGCTTCCATTGATTGCCAATTTATGTACCAGAACGGTTGCTGATCCAGTGGCAGCTTGCTGAGTCTGTCAACTAGCTCCCAATCGCCAAGGGCCTCTATGGGCAGCCTTTGTGTGGTTCCGTCGCCAAATCTGAAACAATACAAAAACTATTGCCCTCTTAATACATTATAAAAGATTAATAAAGAAAAATTGTGTGATCACGTCATCATTACCATGAGCTGGTGAACAGCCCATTGCAGATCATAGGCCTATTTTATGGACTCAGTAATTTAGTCAAAATACACATAAATATATCTGGGCATTTTAGTTCTGGTTTAGCAACTCCCGAATATCGAAAGCTTTGAACTTTAAACTACACGTAAGCAAGTGCTTACGTATAGTCTCAGCTTTAAACGTAGTAGCTAGATACTCGCATATGTTATATTTGAAGGAATCGTGGTACAAAATAAAAGAAAAGCAAAGAACTGAGGGTAGTAATTCATTTAGACAGGTAAAGAAGAATATATTGCGAGGAGGCTGCCCTACTGTTGGTTTACATACATCATCTAGTTCCCTAACATAATTAACCGGCTACTAGTATCAGTAAAATCAGAACCGATTCAAAAAAAAGTAATTAATTTAAAAAAAAACTTCTTTATGAATTGTATCAGTAATAATTTAAATTACACTTATTATGTACTACTAATAAATATTACGAAAATACGATACGACGATATATATACGACCCGTGAGCATTCTGTAATAGCAGATCTCGCACTTAACAAATAATACCTAAGTGTATTTTTTACATCACCCTCTTATTTGTTATTATTGTCGACGATAACAGTATACGGTGGTTTCTATAATCTTATGATTATACCGTAATGTAATGTATAATTAATAAATGTAATGCATGAAATTAATTTGAAAGAATGTTTTGTCTTGTATCCGCTTCTTACTGCGTGCCATGAACGTTTTATAACGTAAATTATTTAAGGAGAAATATTACTTTTCTTTTAATAATTTGATTAAACAAAGACAGTAATTTCTAAGAAATTTATAACAATATAAACAATAACGCGCCGTATAGCGGGGAGCCAAGAGATCCACTAACTAACCCATATCATTTCATGTGTGTTGTAAGAGGCGATAGAAAACTGGGATAGGCATAGGCAGCAACCTCTCACTGATAAAAACGCAAAATAAAAAAAAATCGTTTGCCAAACAGCCTGCCAATTACTAAGAAAAGAGGTTGTGTGCTCAGCAGTGGATTTTTAAAAGGCTGTATGTTATATATTTTTCATATTCTTTAATTCCTTTAGGAGAGTTACTGCTACGGGACTGGACCGGGTGGTTTATTTAAATGAGTCATAAATCGTCTTACAAAACATGGTTTAAGTTGTTAACTTTTTTCTATATTTAAATCGCTTTTTTCATATTTGCTGGTTTAAAATACTTATTACCTGGAGAAAAATTCGATGTTAGAAACGAACAATGTTTGAGTCATACTGTTTAGATGTTACTACTGCGTTTTACGATTTTTATTTATACATTAACTTAAGGTTTCATTTGTACGCTTAGTAACTAATTAATGGTATATTTATTTAAAAGTAAATACAATGTGTTTTATTAGATACTTTGAGTATGCATTTTTCTTGTTTTATCAAAAATAATATTTAAATATTAGGAAACTATAAATTGGAATTAATTTCAATGCTGAGGGATAATAGCAGACCTTTTTGATCCTGTCGTTCCACTTATTGATGTAGGCAAAAAGTGTTTTATGGTACTCTCATAGTTGGGCTTAGTTACTGGTGACTGTGGTGTGAATACACTGGAGCCGTTCGTTTTCACTTCGCTGTTATTTATATTAGCATCACCACTTCGGTTACCAAAGTCAGTACTTGTTCCAGAATTCACATCTGTTACTCCCGTATTAGCACTGCTTATCACAGGATTTCCGAAACCGTTGGTTGGTGGTTGCGCAAATGGGTTCGGTCTCAAGGGAAACGTTTGTGGTTTCTGTCTATTGGCTTCTATTACTTGCCAATTTATGAACCAGAACGGTTGCTTGTCTAACGGCAGCTTGCTGAGTCTGTCAACTAGGTCCCTGTCGCCAAGGGCCTCTACGGGCAGCCTTTGTGTGGTTCCATCGCCAATTCTGAAACAATATAAAAACTATTGCATTCTTAATATATAATAAAAGCTAAATAAAACAAAATCGTGTGATCGCTTCATCATCATCATGAGTTGGTGAACAGCCCACTGCAGAACATAGGCCCATTTTTAGGATTCAGTTATTGCATGTGGTTTTATTGTAATAGTATACCAAATAATTTGTCTCATAGTCGTAACACACATAAACGTGTCGGGGAATTTTCGTTGTGGTTCAGCAACTTCCGAATATCAAAAGCTTTCAACCTTAAACTACACATAAGCAAGTGTTCGTAGTAACTAGATACTCGCATATATTATATTTGAAGGAATCGTGGTACAAAATAAAAGAAAAGCAAAGAACTGAGGGTAGTAATTTCTTTAGATAAGTATAGAAGAATATGTTGAGAAGAGGCTGTTGGCTTACTTACTTCATCTAGTTGCCTAACCTAATTAACCAGCCACCAGTATCTGTAAAATCAGCAACGATTCAAAGAAAAATTAAAATTAAAAACTACCTTATGAATTGTATTAGTAATAATTTAAATTACACATAATATGTAGTACTACTAATAAATATTACGATAACACCTTAAAGCAAACGGCCTGTATATACGACCCGTGAGCGATACATCCTGCAATAGCAGGTTACGTACTTAACAAATAATAAGTGTAATTTTTTATATCACCCTCATATTTGCTATTGTCGGCGGTAACAGTACACTCTAGTTTCTGTAATCATATGATTGTACTGTAATGTAATATGTGATTAATAAATGTAATCTATGAAATTAATTTAAAAAAAAAATTTGTCTTGTATTCGCTTCTTACTGCGTTCGATGAATGTTTTATAACATAAATTATTTACGGAGAAATGTTCCTTTTCTTTTAATAAATGGATTAAACGAAGACAGTAATTTCTAAGAAATTAAACTTCTAACAATTTAAACAATAACGCGCCGTATAGTGGGGAAACAAGATATCTAATAACTAACCCATATCATTTCATGTGTGTTGTAAGAAGCGATAGAAAACTAGGAAAAGCTTAGGCGGCAACCTCTTACTGATAAAAACGTTAAATAAAAAAAATTCGGTTGCCAACAAGCCTGCCAAGTACTAAGAAAAGAGGTTGTATGAAAAGACTGTAAATGCATAAATGAATGAAATATTGTATCTGGCTATTTCGCCGACAGTCATATATTTTTCATATCCTTTGATTTTCCTTTAGGAGACTTGCTGCTATGGGATCGAACCGGTAAGTGTATTTAAACGGGTCATAAATTCTCTTACAATACCTCGTTTCAGTAGTTAAGTTCTTTTTCTAGTTTTAAATTGCTTTTTTATAGTTGCTGGTAAAGAACGATGATATATTAGTATTTTTCGGAATACCGTTAAAATACCTACTAAATTTTGATTATGTCTGTTTTAGATAAATATAGTATTAAATTTTATACCGTTACAGTCTATCCATAACCGCCAGTCCACTGCTGAACATAGGCCTCGCCATAGATTGCCTCAGATAGGGATATTTGCACTAGTTGCTGTGCCTGGCAGGCGGGCTTGCACCACAACTTTTTATACAGTATTTTCTATAGTCGTTATTAGAATGACGCCGCTGTCTTTCTCCGGGTTAATTTCTCTCTGTCGCCTCTTACCCACTCACTATTTTGAATTTCCCCTGACAGTTCTTACGAGTTTTCAGAACATTTATTATTTGTCTGGAAGTTATCAGATATCCTTCTATCATGTCATACGTTCTTTCTTGCTTTTTCCTTTCAACTACTTCTTTTACTCTCTTATTTTTACATCTGAAGTCTGCCTTTTTTATTTCAATCTCATCATTCATACCGCCAGAATTGGTATCGGCTTTGGTGGCTAGTAAATCTAGCCATGCTTTCTTATTTGCTTCAACTTACATCCGTACCTCATTATCCCACCACAACGTATTATTTTTCCCTTTATTTGTTCTCTTACTTACACCACGTACTTCGGTGGCTGCATCCACCAAACCTTTCTTAACATTGTCCCACACAGTCTTGAAATATAAATCGATACCTCCAATTTACACTACGCCAACTCGGATTTTGTAGGTTTACAGGAGAAGCTCTTAAAGAAAAAATATTGATAACTTTTTTATTATCGCACCTATATTAATGATATTTTCAGGATGCATAAATAATTTTCTGTTACTTCTAACTGCGTAATTGGATTTTAATTATTTTTAAAAGTTTTAAAATTAGCTCTAGTTAGCGGAGTTTAAGACGTAAAAATGTCATTTGAGATTCCTTTACACTCCGCCAACTCACAGTTAGCGTAGTATGTATCGGAATATGAGAGTACTCTCAAAATCTTAATCAAACCCATACTAGAATATTATTACGTATTGATTTTAAAGTACATCCAATAATAGAAATATTTTAGTGCTTCAACTAACATATCTTGACAAAATGTTCTCTTATTTCTAAATTTAAAAAATTAGCGTTTTGTAATCGGGAAAGTAATAAAATCAACTACCGTTTTACATGCGTAGAATAACACGATCAGTTAGCGTTTTGTTTGACACAAAATATGAATAAAATCGTATGTTTTTCCAATATTTTATATTACAATTTACAACATTAGTCAAAACAATATTATTGTTAATAATAATAAAATGTTACAAATATACTGAATTATCAAAATTATTTATAATTAATTTCTTTTTTTGGTAGTGGGTAGTATAATATACCTAAGTTGGAAATGAAAAAAAAAATGTTTTATAGTTTTTATATTGGTAAAATAAAATTTTAACCTTATATAATCACTGTATAAACGTAATTGTTTAATAATATAGAGATCAATCAGCACAATTGGTGTGAACTAAACTAACTTTTTAATTAATACAAAAGAATTAGAATAATCTCAGCTACAGTCAAGATTCCCATAAAATTCACATCAAATTCTTTTATGAAATAAGTATACACGTGACTCAAGCATTTTAAATTACAATAATCGCTTAAATTACTTAAACTATTTACGAGATCAATCAGCATGTGTCACTACATAACTATGAACTTACAAAATAAATATTCTGATTAAAAAACTGAAATAGTTACGAAATAAGGAAGCAAGACACTGATTCAGATGACATCAATGCTCGTCTTCGCTTCCATCAAGTTCGTGGTCGACCTCTGCCACTGGTAAATTCTTATAAAAGTTATGATATTTTTGAGGTACGATATTATTATCACAGAAATAAACTAAATATTTGTATTTAGCCCTATTTATTTTCAATAAATGGGTATATGCTTTGTCTGAAAAAGGTTCTGAGCGAGACTGTCTCGTACTCGATTGTTTAAAGCATTGTATCTGCTGACTTTCTACATCACCTAAGCTGTATTTATAACGTAACATTCCTATATTTTCTGGATTAACCCCGATCTCTTTGACTTTATTCCAAGAAACCTTATCATGAGAAACACTTTTGTCCAATATTTTTTTTGTAAATACCCTTTTTAAAATCTAAGATCACATTCTGCTTTACTTCTACGACATTATACGGCTTATCATTTACTTTTGCCCATCGTACTAAGGAGTAACATTCATCTGGCGAATAAATTTCTCTTCCTTTGGCTGATTTTTCGATTAGGGCATGCACCGAATCACCTTCGTTTTGTGTATGTCCCTTCTCCATAAAGCGATGATAAATTTTAATTGCCGCTAACAAGTACATGTAGTAAACTATCCGCTTACGGTTTTGGCCCCCGCAATTATCTGACCATAAATATATTTCAGTAACTCCCTTTGAAGCCAGTTTATTCAAGAAATCATAAAGACAACTAGAGATTTCATTTGCCCCTCTCTTTGCGGTTTGTTCGTCCCACATGTAACAGAATGCTCCTCTATGCGCTATGTCATACACAGTAAAATTATATACGTTAAGCTTTCGTCTGTAATAATAAATACTAATGTTTCCATGTGGTGCGTTCAGTACTTCCTGAAAATCAAATACAATGCATACTTTTTTATTATCATTATTTGCTAGTAATTTATTTTCTAATTTAAGCTTTCGAGAATACTCCTTTTTTTTGATGAATTGTATATTTTTTCGCTCTGCTTATCAGTAACTTCAGGTATGTTCTTAAATTGATGGCAGAGGTCACACTGATCCTTTTTCGGAACATGAAATCCTATCTTTATCCTTGTTGGCGGCTTACAGTCGTGCGGTTAGCGGCCGCGCATCCCGAATACACACCGCTAAGACGAGTAGTCGGGGTGTATATCGCGTGTTTGTCAAAAGTACATTTACTTGGCGTTATGTAATTTTCAAAACTTTTTTATTTCTTTAAATTTTTTAAAGAAATTTAGGGAGCATAATATTATTACTTTAATGAGTCATTTTCCATTAAAACCTGAAAATGAGTAAAAATCAAGTTGGCGTAGTGTTCATTGGAGGTATCGAAATCATTCATACACAATTCATTCAAACAGCTAATATTTTCTCTCGGTCTACATTAATACTTCTCTTTTACGTCTTCATATTGTAACCTCTCTATTCCTATACGCTGTAACGCAGTGGTAGACTATTAAATCGACATAATACCAAGTAATGATCCATTGCTACGTTGGACCCTGGTAAACACAGATGCACACAGGTAGTTACAACACCAGTGCGCTCGTCCTTCATCCACAATTATGAAATCTATCATGCATCTATCATCACCTATTTCCTCCTAAATCGCGTATGTGAGGAACTTCAGACAGAATACGATCATCAATGTAGTAGTTTTTGCAAGAGATGATTTCTTTCTAGAAAGTTTAATAATATGAAACCTGTCAGCATTCAATATTATTCAGATGTTACGGCACCATAGTGCTAAATTATTTAAGCCTTACTGTAAGAATTCTGCACCGGAATTAGAGGAGATAGTTCTAAAAATCCTTAGATCATCAGCAAACAAATAAAAAGCCCTAAATGAGACACCTGAGATACGCTAGAGTATGTAAAAATGTCTCAGAAACATAACCATCAACAAAAACAGTAGATAAACGATTTCAATTTTAGACGAATGAATAATTTGTAAAACCAGAATTTTTTTTAACTATAGATTGTAAATTTATGTGGACAATATTTAGTTGTTTTATATTGTGTGGTAGATAGTTAATAAACTCGTTTATGTACAGTCACAGTCAAATAATTCTTGTATTTCCGGTGAAGAAACTGTTGCGTTGTGTAAAAATGCTATCGATATTTCTGAATAGACATATTATCAATATGACATGAGCTTTTTATGATGACCAGCTTATCATTATCGAATTTGCGAGCCAAAACTTTACCACCCAAGAACCAAATATATTTGTAAGTCTCCTTCAAGATTTGTTTAGCTTCGCTCAGAAGTGTTTTATTTGCTTTGGCCAGTTAGTCGCCGATATATCACTCTTTTTTGGCTACTTCAGGATTAGGGACATTGGGAGCTATATCTTCCATAGCAATTGTTTCCGTTCGTGCAGCGCGGATCCACTCGTTGATCTGCTCCTCTTGTTGCAATACTACCTGGATCACCTCTTCTTTACCATCCCTGCCTTTTAGTCTCTTCAGCATTGACACTTGACGTTTCTCTATGTTTAGCTTCGAGGCTAGTTTACTTGACAGTTTTTCCAAGTTCTCGTCTTTATCTTCGGGAATTCCTGTTACTTCCAGTACATTATCCAACTCTTTTTTTCTATATTTCTGAGTTCTTGTTCCATTGCATTAACTGGTAATTACAGGTGGGTATTTTAATTTGTCAAGTGCATGTTTTCCCTCTCCAAGTCTTTAGCTTTCTCAGTAAAGATTTCCAGTGTAGCGTTTATAGTATCCATTTTTATATACCACGAGCTAAACGATTCGTTCACAGAAGCCAGTACATTCTTCACTACTTTCTTTAACTGCCTTTTATCAAGTGAGATATCACGAAGTAATTTATTCACCGCTGTCGAATCGCTTTCGCCCATTTGATTCCCATCAGTATCATCATCATCGTCCTCCGGGATTACGAAAGACTTCCGATGGGGCGATTCTTTACGAGAATCTTCGCATGGCCACCCCAGGTTTTCAGCATTGCGCTGCGTAATAAGCCTGTGCATAATTGATTGGCGTGTACTATTTTTTCACATTCGTTGTATTCAAACCCGGGTGACTTTTTTGTTATGGACTTATTACAATTGTCGCATTCTTACTTATTTAGTATTGAGCGTAAATTTGTCCGTGCACCGTTTGACTACGTTGTGTGAGTGCTCGCGAGTGACTGATGGTGGAACTGAGGTCAACAATAGTGATCTATTAAATTGAGATGTGTAATAGTAATAAACCTTACCGATTTCCAATTTCATCAGCAGGTGTAGTCGTTTTGTTTTCAAGTTCTGGGTATCCAATTGGTCGAGAACCGGCGAAGTAAGGTCTTTGACCGAACACGTTACATACAGATGCAACCACAACCAAGAATTGGAAAAAAACCATGACCTATGAACAAAATTTATAACACTGAGTCAAATCAAAGAACAAGGTATTTATTATACTTATTACTAATGCTAAGCCTACGATAAAACGAATAAAAAATGTACTAAGCTAAAGAAGTTTGATGGATTGGCTTATATAGTGGTATGCATGTGTTTCGGATAATGTTATTCCCAAGTTTTTTAGAAGCTTGGACACATGGTATGAATGCGTCGTACAACAAGTTGTAAACCGTCTCGGACAAGGATATAATGTAGCTTAAATAAATACATAAACACTCACGACTGCCACCCAGAAGGGTAGGCAGAGACTACAGACTTTCATTTGGCACGATCCTGACACACCTCTTTCGCCTCCTCCATATCCATATACCTACGCACAAATGCTCATCGGTTAAAAGTACTCCTAATTTGTGGCCCGTTTTCAATATATCGCCAATTTGGTCGATGAATTTTCGCCTAGGACGTCCCTTTCCAACTCTGCCGTTCACTTCAGCAACATAAATTTTCTTTATCATACTTCCCTCATTCATTCTTTCCACATGACAAAACCACCGAAGCATTCCTTTCTTAATCCTGGTCACAAGGTCATCTTGCAAACTACACTCTTCCCTTATCATACAATTTCTCAACCTGTCATTTAGATTAAGCCCTAACATTCTCCTTGACGACTTCATTTCTACTGCGTTTATTCTACTCTTGAACTTCGTCTGCCACACCCAACTTACACTACCATACGTTGAAGTAGGGACCAACACAGCATTTTGAATTTCCATACGTGCCTTTTTTGACACATTCTGACTCTTCAAAATAGAGTAAAGGGCACCATTTACTCTATTTCCTGCGTTCACTCGTCGTTCTATGTCCTTATCATATCTTCCATCCCTGCTAAATTACGCATCTCAAATATACAAAGTCATCTACTTGCTCAATCTCTTCCTTCTATTCTTATTTCACATATCGTAATAATTTCTTCTCTTTCAAAAACCATAACTTTCGGTTTTTGGCCGAAAACTTCCTCCGAAATATTCTCTCCAGCCCTTAGCATTTCAAGTAAAACTCTATCATATCCGGTTGCTTTACCTGCTTTCATGATTTTCATTGATTGCATTATTTCGTCTATAGTTATCTCGCTACCTTTTTCCTCTTCTTTTAGACTTCCTATTACATTTAATTCATACGTCGTCTCCTCACTCATAAACACGCTTTTAAAATATTCCTTCCAACTCTTTAAACTCAAAACTTCATCAATCACAATATAGCCATTCTAGTCTCTTATAGCATTCATTATAGGCTTTTTTGAATGTCCCCTGGCAGTTCTTATGAGTTTTCAGAATATTTTAATATTGTCCTGGAAGTAATCCGATATTCTTCTATCATTCTTATCCGTTATTTCTTGCTTTTTCCTTTCAACCACTTCTTTTACTCTCTTATTTATATGTCTAAAGACTGCCTTTTTTCTTTCAATATCATCATTCGTACCAACAGAATTACCAGCCCTTGTTGCTACTAAATCTAGACATGCACTCTTCTTTGCTTCAATTTCCATACATATGCCATTACGTATTATTTCTCCTTTAATTCTTTCTCTTACTAACACCACATACTTGGTAGCTGCATCCACTAAAACTTTCTTAACATTTTGATATAATGCATATTGGAATTCTCTGCTAGTCAACTTTGGCTATGGTGAGAATCTATGTTAGGTGTACTAAAATAAATTAAGTAAAGTTAGCATTTACACTAGCATACATTAAAATCAAATATTTAATTAACACTATCACCACCACAACCACCATCATCATTATCATCATTACACAGCTTTACCTACAGTTGACTAAAGGTCTGCTTGAGATTTGACAATGACTTTTGCTATAAAATAAAGAGCTAGCCGATCACTTCCTGCAGCCTGAGATTTTCTGCTCGGTTCAGTACCGCTAGCAACGCCGTAACATTGCATGACGCTTTTAACAAACCTTCTGTGCGCGGATAATGTTTATGCTCACCGGACTGGCCAGACAGATTGGTGGACGCAGAACCGAAACCCTCGCACTGGAAGTGTTACCTGTCTTTGAATTCCATCAGAGTTTTGCCCAGAGATCAACAGGTTAGGCAAAGTTAAGATGAGTTTGATCTTTAGAAAAATTGCATATTGCTCTTATCAGCCAAATAACAAAGTATACAAATAAGTAGTTGTTTTAATATCGATAAAGTTTTTGAACATACCTCCTTTGTTTATAGAATATTTTCTTTTAGCATCGAATTCCGGTAAAATTAAATTCTTTGGTTCAGGTTTGAGATATTTTATAAAATATTCACTTCACCTTTAACATTTAGTCTTAATTCTCTCGTATCGTCAATTACATTAGCTTTTGTGTGTTAATAAAATAGAAATAACTTGCATGACCACTAGGTACATATTGTTTTATTTTTATTCACTGCCGATAGCGATTTTAAAAAGAGTGAAGATTTGATTGTAAATATCAATCGCGTGCTAAATAATAATAAAATAATAAAAAATAAATATAGTTGTCCCAAGTCCAGATACTTTCTGTTAGAAACCAGATTATATGCTATCAAAATAATGCTGGCCTTAAAATTTTCTTATTCATTTGGCGGTCGATTGTCATATTATGTCATATTATGTCATATTATAGATATAGGTAATGATAAATATTGAAATAAGAAATAGGAATTTATAAAACATGACGTTATTTTTGCTGTTTTTTATCACTAAAACTATATTATTTATTTAATTTTAATAACATAAAAATAAAATTAGAATGCAAAAATGTAACTTACGGAACGAATTTATTTATTTTCACAAATAAACACCTTAGCGCCAACACGATTTATAACAGACTGGTTTGTCCAGCGTTTTGCTAAATCATAAATAAAAATCTGAACTTGTATTTTAAAATTCGGGTTCTCTGGGTTCTCGTTATAGTAAAATTTTTGTATTTTAAAAACACTGAATATTTAACATGGCCTTTTTCACTATGTCAACATTTTTATTGTTCACAATATACAGACGATAGTCGGATTTTACAAGCATTTTCCTTAAAAAAATATGTAAGGAGTAACCGCGCAGTGGCGGTATAAGAATATCCATTGCCCCATATCTTCTTGTAAGTATTGTAAAAGGCGATAGAGGATTAAAAACCAGTATATGACCATCAGCATCTTTCTAATAAAGCTAAAAGTCTAACTAAAAAACTAATTGTCAAGACGCCCACCAGGCATGGTAACTATAGCGTTACTTTATAGGCTGTAACAGATGGAACGGATGCAAGGAATATAAAATGTTTCTTTAAAAATAGGCATTGGTTTTGATCAATTAAATATTTTTTTATTAATAATTGAATTGATTAAAATCACTGGAAACTAATGGTGTTGTGTTACGTATAGTGAATGACGAGACATGGATATCCGTTGTACTGATAACGAGGAATTCCGTCTCAATCCTCAGTGGGCTCACAATACAGACATTCAATTACTACCAGAGTGCTTTTTGTCACCTTTGCGTATACAATTACCTTGTACTAGTGATAGTGATAGTGATAAATGATATCGCCATGTGTATCGTAAGCCAAAACTATCGTTTGTCTGTTATTGTAGTTAATAAAAATTATAATGTTATTGTATTAAATGAAATTAGTAAAATTGTATAAAAACCTTGGAAACAGTGTTTTCAACATTAAGTACAAACATAGATCTAAATAATATTTTATTAATAGATTACTAGTAGAGATTTTATGAACCTGTAAAAATTTATACATAGAATCAATAAAGGTGCCGGAGGTTCGATCAACTGTAAAGCGGAATTCTAAACGCAAATATAGAAAACATGATTTTGCCCACCACCGGTTTACATTCTTGAACAATTAATTTATCATAGAAGACATCAAATGAATACATCCCAAGTGTACTGAGTCATCTAACAAATTTAGGTTTTTTATTATTTTTATATAAACTTACATAATAAACTGGTGACGCTTATGGTTCCTGGGTTCGAATCCGGAACGGATGGTCACTAAATGGTTAGGGTGACTATGTTGCCCTTCGTGTCCGGATCGGAGGAACCTGAAAATGGTCGCACTAATGACCAGAAGATGGTGCGGCGATAGGGTCTCGGGTTGGATTGCCGGGACGAGCTAAAACCTTATTATGCGGGATTGATTTTCGTGGTGGACTGTATACGTGGTTCCCTATTACCAAACAAGATGACTGATGTGGCACGTGGAAGTCTTGGACGATGCAGTCGAAATCATCCAATCTATTATTTAGCCAGTGTCCCGAGATGGGATTCTACTTGACTGTTAGGGGAAAGAAAACATAGTAAAGAAAATAGGTGGGGTTCCTTCTGCCGGCGGCCTCGAGGACGACGCTCCTGGTGTTGTGATGCGTTGGAAGAGAAGGCCAAATTGGCCTCTAAAAAGCTTGGCGTGCTCAGCAAAGCGGGACAGTATTTCATGCCGGCCGCACATGGAACACTGTTCCCATCTCTGGGTCGGGGTTCCCCAATGCCAGCTCCTTCTATTTGATCGAATCCAGCGCAGAGTAGTTCGTATCGTCGGCGACTGAGCTCTTTCCGATCGGCTTGACTCACTGGCACTGTGAAGAGATGTTGCATCTCTTTGCGTATTTTAAAGCATCTACCACGGGGAGTGCTCTGAGGAATTGTTCGGACTAATTCCAGCCGCACAGTTTCACCATTGCACATCGTGACAAAACTCGCGATACCATCCATACCATTTGGATGACTGGCGGTCCACCACTAAGCGATTTAAAAGAAGTTTCCTTCCTAGCACAACTTCCTTGTGGAATCAACTACCAGCAGAGATTTTTCCGGACTAATACGACTTAGGGACCTTCAAGAAAAGAGCCTTTTCCTTTTCAAAAGGCCGGCAACGCATCTGCAATCCCCCTGGTGTTGCAGCTTTTCATGGGCGGCGGTAATCACTTACCATCAGGTGAGCCGTATGCTCCTCTGCCCCCTCTCCT